AGAGAGAGAGAGAGAGAGAGAGAGAGAGAGAAGGAAGGAAAAATAAAAAAAGTTTGATCGTTCGAAATAATCTACATTACCCATTCGAAGAAAGAAACAAAGTTGGAAAATAATTTGTTTCGCGATACGTCATTGGGAAATTTGTCATTCTTATCGAAGGAATCGTAGGGAGAGTAATTCAACCATTTTAACCATTGGAACGTACTTAATCATAAAATATAATCAAAATATAATGTTTCTACTTCGTAAGAAACATTAAAATTCAAATTCGTTTCTAACGATCGTACAACAATTACGTAATCGTTCAACTTCAAGTTGTTCAAAGATCGTTTCGTTTCGAAGAGAACGCGAACGATGATCGCGAACGTCTTTTTTATTTTTTCGAAAAGACGAACGCCGCAGCAATTTTGCGAACGATCTTAAACTAAAACGAAGGAAGGAGATTAATTGAGGGGAGAAAAAAAGGCAGCATTCTCTTCGCTCGCGTCATCTCGTAGAAAAGAAGGAAGGAAGGAAGGAAGGAAGGAAGGGAGCTAGTTTTCCGACACTCGTCGCTTCAAGAGTCTCTCTCCTCTCCTCTTTCGCTGCTTCGTTCGCGAATGGACAACTTCTTTTTTTTTTTTTTTTCGGCTCGAGAATAAAGTCGTTGGACGCCTCGGGGGACGGCGGCGGTGGATGGCGGCGGGTAACTCGATATCGCTTCATTTTTCTGCCTCGAGTACGCGCGATAATCGAGTTGTTCCATCGCGATACCTTCCATCTGCCTGCCTTGGCCAGCTGCATCCCCCATCTACATCGGCGCGTACACGACAGCGAGATTGGTTGCGCTGCAACTCACCTCTCTCGTCCCCTTTTTCGAGCGCTTCCTCTCGAGCTTGGGTGTTTGAGGTAGCAGGGTGTAATCGCCGCTCGCGCCTCCGCTGCGCTGCCTCGTCAACGGCTGGTGGGAGAAGAAGGGTGCCCGTGGCGGTGGCGAGAACTGTACACCTTGCGGCAGTAACGTGTAGCCGAGGTTCTGGCCTTGGGTGAACGGCGAGGTCGGCGGGAAGTGGTTGGCCACGACGGGCGCCCAATACTGGTGCGAGTACCGTGACGGGGAGCTCCCTGTGGATCACGACAATCGCCCATTGTCATTTGATCGATCCCTGTCATCGCGATCGATCCGAATCCGACGGAGTAGAGAAAGAAACTCGCGCGCGAATTAAGGATGAGAAGTCGCGTTCTCGCGAAAAGAGATTGGAAATTTAGGGGAAAGGAAGGGGAGGGGAATTTGATGTTTTCGTTCGATCGAGTTTGTTCCGAGTTGGTGGCGGATATTTTCTTCGATAGCTTTTGCGTTATTGCATGGAAATGAGGTTGCCAATCCCTCGAAATATAAATCGGGAATAACGGTGCACTCGTTATACTCGGATAATAACCGACTCGCCGTTTCGAAGATTCTTATCGAGTCGGGCCGAGTTAAATTTGAAACGGAAACCTCGGATTTTAGTTATTTCTCTCGGGGACAGAAGAGGAATCGATTCGATTTTCGAGCTATCCCCGATTTGAAACTCGATTGATTCCAACTCGTCGTTTATACGCGTAACGGTACAAAGTAGGGGAAAGTAGGCTGGGTTATTCCCAATTTTCAAAACGAAGGAAGAAAAATGGGGTAGGGATGAAGAAAGGGGGAGGACTTACTGTCGCTACGCGGATTGCTGTGCCTCCTCTGTGCCTTCCACGTGGTCGATCGTACTCTTCCGGCAGTTTCGGTGTTTACAGCGTCGACGCTGAGACTTCTGGCGACACCCCTGTAAGGATTCGACGTGGTTGTCTCACTGGTCGCGGCGACACCAGCGAGCTGCTCGTTAAGGGCGTACAACTTGGACGTAATGTCCTTACCGATGAGGGTGTTGAGGACGACCTTGAGCAGAGGCCTATGCCTGAGTACCCTGAGCAACTTGATCCTGGTCCAACAGATGTAGGTGCTCGATTCCTCGGCCCGTATCGTCACTTGGAACACGTCGTTGATGTTCACGTGGGTGGCCTCCCATTCCGGCGAGTCCACGAACTGATAAGCTTTGATGTAGTGCAAGTGCGTCCCGTCGCAGGTCACCTTCAGCCTGTACACCGCGCGCAACCGTTTTAGATTAGCCCACCGATCCCCATCCGATCTACGCTACGAAATCGCGCCAACGACAATCGCGAGAACCAACTTTTCGCTACATCACTCCTTTCCCCCGGATATTTTTCTAAATAGCAACGTATCGATCCGATACGTTGGGAAAATTAGCGTTAAATTCTTTTTGATCGAACGAGAATTGTAATTGAAAATAACGAAAAGAGAGATATCGGCGTGGTCGGTACTCACTTGCCACGCAACAGTATCGACAGCCGTTCGTCGGCAGGTGTGACGCCTTCCGTCGCGTACGTTTGACCAGAGTCCAGCTTCAGTATCCTCGCCTCCTTGGCCAGCTCCTGGAAGTGTTCTTGCTGACCTTGTACGGTTTGAACAGTTTGAGATAGAGCTCGGCGAGCTCCGGGCTGAGCGCGGGCGGTAGAAATCGGCAGGCCAGTATGAGCGAGTGGATGCCGTTGAGGAGGCCGAGGGCGAGACACCAGAGCATCGCGTCCAACGCGCATATCGTGATCCCGGCCCATAGGGCGGCCAACATGAACCCGGCCGTGAGAAAGGTGCGAAGCGCCAACACCGAAGCCTTGAACGAGCGCGGCACCAGGAACGCCGCTGCGAAGAACAGATTCGCCGCCTGGTAAAAGGCAAATCGAAACAGATTTCCTCGTGAGAAAATCCATCGGCCGAGTAAATTCGAGCGACCGTCTCTTTCCGTTTTTCCTCCCCTTCATCTTTCACCAGAAAAAGAAATCGATATACTCGAAATGTAATTGAAAGCGTCGCGTCGTCAGCGTTGAATAAATCTCGTTTTAAAACGAATCTCATTATATTTACGTTCTCTCGCGTTCCACCGATTCGCCACAAAAACGAAAACGATTTTTCATAATCTTTGCGACAAATCTTTAAAACGCGATAAAAACTTTCGGCCGAATGACAAAGATTCGTCCCCGCATTTCGTCCCCACTGTTCGACACGACGAACGTCGATGCCTTTCGATCTCGCGCAACCGTTCGATTATCGAAATATAATTTCGTCGTCCACGCGCGACAATCATCGTGCGATTTAATTTGCAAATTAATTTTCGTCGATCGCAATAAACTTTCGTACTGCGCAACTTTCTTTCCTATGCGTATCTCGCTAAATTATTATCCACACATTTCTAAATTAAAAACTATCATCTTCGTTAAAGAAGGAACGATTCTAATTTCTAATTTTATTCGAACGTTCTAGATTCTAGATTTCGTTGGTTCCGGATTTACGATCGACGAGCAAAGGGATCCGGAGTTTACCTGGAAGAGTTTGTGCTGCGCCGCCTCCCATTCGTCGCAATACCCTCCTCCCGATGACAATACAGTGGTGTTTAACCTCTCGGTCGCGTTACTGGCCTCTGTACTGTTCCATACGTCCACCCACAGCTCCGTGTAATTCAAGTCCTCGAACGAGTAGCCACCCAGGCTGGGCAAGCCGCTGTAATTGAAGGTGTAGCCCTCGGTGGAGTAGGTCGTCGATGTCGGGCCGGTGAACGGGGTTGTCGTGGTGGACGACAAAAGGCTGCTCGCGGCCGAGGGAGCATCAGTCGTGTTCGCCATTTTTCGTCGCGAGCGCGTGGTACGGGCCATCACCTTCTTCCACTGAAACGATCCGAGACAGAGTGTGGAGAGTGAAAGCGAAAGCGTCGTGGAGAGGCGAGAGTACCGACCAGAAGAGTACCCTCTAATTTCGAGTAAACGAGACAGATTAAGTCTTTCCCACTTGCGCACGTCATGTATACGCTCGCGTCGTATATTTTTCCCCTCCCCTCGTCCTAATTACTTTAATCAAAGATAAAAAGCACGAAACATCTCGTCTAATTGTTTTAGACCTTCTTAGACCGTTAATTAATGGATCACTTTTATGTAGGTCGGACAGTTTCTCTTTCTCTCATACTCGAAAGAAATTCTTGTGTTTGTTATCAGGAAAGAGGACGACTTTCTATATTTTTCTTTTTTTTTTTTTTTTTTTACGTTAGCAGATTAAAAATAACAAAAATCGAAAGATGTTATTTAATGCAATGAAAAAGTAGTTTCTTTCAAAAGTAGAAAGAATTAAAAAAAAAATAAATACGCGTTTTTCAAAATATTTGGTATCTACTCGTAAAAGATTAAACTTTAAAACGCGAGATAAAAAATTTGTTTAAATCGCATTCCGAAGCATCGTTCGATTTAATCGAATCCACTCCGATCGATTTAACGGCATCGATCGATTCGAATCCGTTTGTCGAATTAATCTCCCGCTTAATTTACCTACAAATTATCACTTTTCGTCTATTTATAAAATATATTTTCGATAGAAATCGAAAACGTATCATTTTTTTCTCATCGCTTAAAAAAGATACTCGAAAAGAGAAACCAATCTATCATCGTTCGACCCATCTCGCGCATGAAATATTCAACTCGGCAAGTACGAGAAAGAATGCGAGAAGTCAAACGCGGCAAGATGACCGACAAAAGATAGCGGAACGTCTCCAAGGAATAAAATAATCACGGTTTCGAGAGAATAGAGATCTCGATGGAACGAAGGTACGAGGAGGGACGAAACGCGCGATCGGTTGATTCGCGACATATTTCGACGCGAAAGGAAACGCGCGAGACTTCCATATTTTTCGCGTATGGAATTTTTCTATCGGGGATGCTTGTTTCAACGTCTCCTTTTCACCGTTTTCATTTCATAGAAAAGCAAGTCGACGAGTCTACGATGTTCGAAATCAACCCAACAACGTTCGATTAAACGTCCTCCTCCCATTTTTGCATCCGAGTCCAGCATCTCATCTCGTTCGCGATAAGCAAATCTTTTATCTTTTCGAAGAATCGATAGTCTCGGATTGATCCGACTCGAGGCTCGATCTCTCCTCCATCCGACAAACATTTTTATACCTCGTCGAACGAATCGATCGATGTTGGATCACCTTCTTCGTCCTTTTCCATTTTCCGTCTCGTCGGATCTCCCTTCTTCGAACGGGATTCGTTCGTGCGAACCGCGGAATACGACCCCGATGATATCGATCGTTTAAAAAGGAATTTCCCTACAAATTATCTCTCCGATTTCGAATATTATTTCTTCTACTCCCTTCGGTGTAGTGATCGATCGAAAAAAGATATTTTCTCTCGGAGAAAAAGTAATCGACACTCGTCGCGAATAACGAGCGAATTTCACTTTATAAAATTTTCAACTATTTTGGATAATAGAAAAGAAAAAAAAAAATTGGAAAGGAGCGCGAATAAATTTACCGGTTTGGAATTAAATTTTAAAATCGGATTACCTTATCGCTTTTCCGTGATTTATGATTTTTGATCTCTGACCGCCTCCTTTTCGAGAGATAGATGGACAAGGAGAATAGCAAGAACAAACGACGAGTATAGTTTCGTTCGATTTCCATACCGATAAAAATATAGGATCCTCGCATCTGTTTTCGAATCTTTAACGTCCAAGTTGTTTGGAGAGCAGGTTCGAGCGACGAATGCGAAACTTGGAACACTTCCATCGAAAAGTTTCGAAGAGGAACAAAGTGCTATCGGAATTTATAGAGTACAGCATCCCCGTGTATTTTTCCCCAAGTATTTATGCAAAACAATTATTCGAACGAGTAAAGAAAAGAAACGAACGAATTATCGTCGTCGACAAATAAAATATTTCTTCCCTTTTACTTTCGCGATAATTTTCGTTATCTCGTATCTACATCCATACACCTCCTCCGATAAAAATCTCAAAGCATGGACGTCGGGCGCATCGAGGCACGAGCGTATTCGAAAAGATCCTGGCTCAATGGATTTTCCACGGATTTTCAACCGTGGATGGAAGGTCTTCGAGGCCGGTTTTTACAGAAAAGAGACACGGCTCTTTTATACGCGCGGTCTCCTTTTGCGATACCACGAGCGCAGGAGATCGCCATCCTTTCGCAAATTTCAACGAGCGCGTCTCTTGTTGAAATACGAGAAACTTGGACCAGAAAAGCTTATGGAAGCTCGGATTATTATTTCCAAGTCGATACGATCGGATATCAATCGATCGGATCAATTCCTTTTATTTCGATCCACAGAAATTGTGCGATCCACTTTTCAGAGAATCGTAGAAAAAAAGAAAAAAGAGAGAGAATGGACGGTAAGCGAGTAAGTGAGAAAATTGGGGGAGAAAAGATTAAAATTGCGTTAAACGTTTCGAGCTGAAAGATCTTTTTCATCCGTCCGCAGCTGGCAAGGGTCGAGGTCAATCGATTTATGACACCGCGTGGCTCGCAAACTTTTTATGCTCGGTGTTTCGTATCGGGTGGAACCGTAACAAGTTTAACGCGTCCTTATCCTCGCGATATCCTTTTTACAACTGTTTCAACCGGTTTATGCGAGCGAGCATCGAGTATCGATCCCAGAACGCGCATATACGCGTACTTCGGCTCTGGGAAAAAGTTTACGACCATCTCTTTACTTTATCGTATTCCCTTTTATTACCATCTCTCGTTCCCCCGGTTTATTAGAGATGTTTATCGAATTATTCAAACGCATCCCTCGCGTAATCTCTTAATTGTTGTGTAGACACTCGTCCGATTGAAATGTACCTTCGTATAAAATCAACGAGAAAATAGTGGGAAAACGCGCTCGATTTTTGCGCGGAAACGAAGGAAAGCCAAAAGTGAAATCATCGATTTGAAAAAGCGATGATACGCGAAAACTCTTGGACTTGGAAAAGTAATCCCGATATCTAATCCCGAATCGTTGGGAAATGCTAGCTTCTTCCAACAACGGACCAATGCAGCACGATTTGCGGCAAGTTAAATAACAACTCGTACAATCGTCGACAAAACGGGGCGATTTTGTTTGAATTCCACTTAAAACTGTCGGTTACACCCCGCTTCATTCTTCGCTACTTACTCGCTACTCGACCAGTGTGGCTGAACGACGAGTTTTAAATTCGCTCGAGGCGATCAACTTTCGACCATCGTTCGATCCTGCACATCGCCTGCAACTTTGATGAACGCGTTCACCATTGGCCAACTCCTGTTTCGAAGAAAGCGACCAACCAGCAACGCTTCTTTTCTTTCCTCCTCGTTTCCTAAATTCCACCTTTCAATTCTTCTCTTAGATAATTCTTTAATCGTCGCCTCATCCACAATTTTCTTTCTCTATCTCTCTCGTTTTTTGTTTCGAACGATGAGACGAAACGAGAGAGATCCGCAAAATGCAGCGGAATTAAATCTCAATTTACGCCAGCGCGAAAATATTGACGCTGCTAAGAAAGGAACCCTTCGCGTAAATATTAATTCGCCGCGAATAAATCACGGGCGACTGCTCTTATTCTCCTTCTCCTCCTCCATCCCCTTCTGCTCCCCGTTGATTACACGCTCGCGTTCCAGATCCGGCTGCCAGCCGGGGACGATTTCTCGTGTTTGGCACAGGGGAAAATTGATGGCGATTTCACTCGACTCGACTCGTCGTCGCTGTGAAAAACCGATCGCGTATATCGACGCGATTCCTTTCTATGCGTCGCCAAATTTATAAAATGTCATCCTATTTTTTTTTTTTTATACACATCTTCTTCTTCTTCGAATCTATCTTAAGCTTGGATCAATTTAAACGTCGGAATATTTAATTACGAATGAAACGCACGAAATGAAATTACGCGGTTGAGGACGATTTACAAGTCTCGATCTCGAGTTTAACAAGAAATCTCGATTCTTCGTTCGTTTTGTACGGAGGGTTAGGGAAGAGTTCGCGTATAGGTCGATTTGCATACACTCGTGTATTAAATCGAACGTTTAACGAGCCACTCGTCGCTAGTTTCCGACCGATTTGCATTTCCGTGGAAATAAATGTTACCCCAACAATTATTATTTCGTTCAGCAATTTCATTTATCCGCCCCTTCTTTCTCCTCTCTTTCCCCTCTCCTCTCGATATACTTTCCGCACGGATGCGCGACAGCGTTCGAGTGGACAGTCTTTGTCCGATGATTGAGCGGAGAAACGCGTAGTTAGAAGCGTAGTTGGCGCTCCTACGATGGAGGGAATAGCGATAGCAAGCGTGTAGGCACTTTAACGCTTCGCTTCGATTAATTTCATTCGCGTCGCGTTAAGCGTAAACGTGGAGAAGAAGGATTACGCTCGGATCGATTCGGATAGTGCGAATTATTTTTATAACAATCGTTTCGACTCGAGTCGAGTTTCGATCGAGGTAATAATTTCTTCGATATTCCTTCGAATTCGATCGAATTTCATCCCGGTGTTCGATTTTATTTTGTAAAAGCGGTAAAAACTCGTGGACTCGTCATCGCTTTATATAATAAGCAAGTTATTAAGTGGAAAGAACAGGACGTTGCACACAAGCCAATCTTGGGAAAGCGTTGCTGACACTTGTTGCCAGCAACATCTTCGTGACCCGAATGCGCTTAATAGATATTGAAATCTATACCACCTACTCGTTATGTACGGCTAACTTTGTTCCGTACCGAGCTTTCCAACCATTACTTCTCGTCACGAGATATCGCAATACGCACAATTCTCACCGCCACTCCTCGCCTCGCTACCTTTACGCGTTATTTATTTTTATTTGGATTAGAAAGGAAATCGGTGGCGAAAGGCGGCGTTGCACTTTGCGAAATTTCAAC